TGGAGATCTCCTAGGTGTATGCGTGACGACGCATTAGATGATTGATATGCATTGATATCTGTCATGAGATGCATTTATTGCATGATTATTAATATGATGAAGTGTGGTGTTTGACTTCATGATTGGTGGATTGTATTTTATGCATGAGTAGTATTGGATAGAGTGTATGGTGTGACTCTATGAATACGATTGTGTAGTATAGATTATTATGATTCATTTGTGAATTCTAGCTTACCCTTATGTTTCCATGTGGTGGAACTGCGATGATCATACTTGGTATGGGAGCAGATCAGGGCTAGCTTGGAGTCGAGGTGACCGCTGCGAGACGGGGAGTTTGATCCTCGTGTTAGGGTTACCATTTTGGGTAGCGATTTTTGTCTGTTTGACCGGCACTAGGGAATATTATTTTTGGGATGACTGTACATATATGGCATTTTATTTTGTATTTAAAGAATTTGGTTATTTTTATTCTTATCTATACCCGTATGTATGAGTTATCCAATTTAATATTTTCCTTAGTTCACTAGTAGTAGTGCGATTCCACTAAGTGTAGAGACCATGGCGGGTCGTTACAAAAATAATGTTAATGCAGAGAAAGGGTTTGAGTAAAAAAAAAGCACTAATATGAGGCGTGGTCTTGGATTGAATTGATTAACGAATTAGGTGATGGAAATGCAAAAATACAAATCTAATGCATTTTATATCATCCTATACCACCACAGTATACAAAAATGAAAGGGGAGAAACATTACAAATAACAAAAATAAGCTGAATTCACAAATAATTCGATCACCATCATTCTAATTTATAGAATCGTTATAAAAACACTAATAATAAAAAAAAATACTCTGTATCTCTATGAAAATAATAAATATTTTAATAGCAAAAAAAATTATTTTGATGATATATCAAAATTAAAATATTTTTTATGAATACTTAAAGTAAATGCCTCGGTGCATTTTCTCCGATAAATGAAAAACATTAATCTATAAATGTAAAATTAATTATTCTTCAAATATTTCTTTTCAAGATATGACAAATTACAAGTTAAAAACAAAGCATTTTTCTTCTTTTAGTTTGGCTTGCTTTTCCAGTTTTAATTTTTATTTTCCTAATTTATTTATCAAAAAATAAAAGCTCAATATTTCACGAAAATATTAAAATGAGAAAGAAAAATTCCATTTATGAATAAAGAGGTGTATAAAACATCAGAATAGTGTTAGCTTCTTTCTCCCAGAAAATAGTATTTGTATACAAATTATTTTATGTATATTATTTAGTATTTTAAATTATAAAATAATTTCATAGGATTTTTTTTAAAAAAAGTGATTGTGTCTTAAAATTAGGCTAAATTACAATTTGTCTTTGTTTCCTATAATATCTATAACCTGCAATTTTTTAATCCATCAATATTTAATTTCATAATTTTGATTTATCAATTTTATAAAATTCACAATTTTAATTTCACTAATAAATATTTATTCGTTAATTGCTAAAATTATAATGTTAGTTGTATCTTAACATTAAGTAAATAATGTGATAATTAATATTTAATAATATTTAGATTAAATTATATCTTAATTTAATATTTCTTTTATCATATTTATGAGATGAAAATGATATTTAAAATATAACTTAATTTAAATATCAATTATTTTTTAATATTAAATATTAATTGTTAGTTCAACATTGAATGTTGAAAATAAAATCAAAATTGAAAATGTTACGCAACATAGCTTACATAACGTTACAGAATTAAAAATTAAAAGGTTGAAATTGTGAATGGAATAGGACTATGTTTAACCTAAAAATATAGTATTCTTAATTAATATTAGGTAATGATGACGAATTCCTTAATTAATAATTACTAACTAGCTTAGGCCTGTTCTTTATAATCATTGTTCGGTGCGGCATCGTTCTTTTTGTGACTTTATATTTTGAAATTGAAAGTATAGTGAGTGTAGTGAAAGTTGATGAGCATGACAACACCCACACACATAAATTAGTTTCTATCATATTTTCTATCTTTACAACCACTTCCTCTACTTTCTCTTCAATTGCTTAGGAGAATACTTTTTCTTTGCCTTCTAAAAGAAGCAATCATTAGTAATGAGGTTGATATATATCTCGTACTCTTTATTTAATGAATTTCGCATAAATTTCAAACTATTTGTGAAACTCTTCATACAGGAAAAAGAAAATAAAGAAAGTGTTGAATGTTCAACATGTCCTGAATTCATAACAAGCAGCATGGATGTGGTTTAATCTTGCAAAATTTGGGCCACTGAACAATAACATGATTGTATTTTCTTTCGATCTTCTCATGAAGGAGTTAACTAATTTTTATGTGTGATGAAATAAGAAGAAAAGGGCCCGCAAATTAGTTATGTGGATTTTATTAGATTCTTCATGGTTAGTTAATTAGATAATGGGGAGGGTGGGAACGTAGGTCCAGGTTTGTTAATTAGAGAATGGGACCTTCTATGCTATGGTTGGATAATAGATATCACTACAAGTCTTTTAATATATAACTAAGTTAATAATTGCTACATAATAATACAAATGCAAGTAGTCAAGATTCCAAAGAAAGAAACAAGATTTGCTGTTGCGTTCAAATAATTCATCGTTTTTGTTTATCATTTGTAATTGGGAGTTAATAACCGAAGCATTCAATCTGAAAACTTGAAACATAATATTAGATAGAAACATGACGTGGTAAACCTGATTGGATTATTTATATAATATTTAGCTGGCTCCTACCCTCCAATTGAGAAAAAAGCATCATATCTGCCAAAACTTAATATTTTTTGAGTTTGATAGGCTTCACCGACTGTGACTCTGTCAAGATCAATAATCCAAAACTTTCTCATTCCCTTCTGCCACAAGAAAAATAAAATAAAAAGCTGATTTTTGTTTGAGACACGTGACGTGTATCACACATCTCGGATGTCTATTTTTTTTCTTTGATATAATCCACTAAATGGCCCATAGTTAATAATCAAAAATTAATTTATTATATTCATAAACGTAAGTTTTATTAATTAAACATTGTTTTAATATAAAAAAATTAATCTTAAAAGTACCAAGTTAACTCTTGGGAACAGACTTTACTATTACAAGTTCAAGAGGGGCTTGGTTATCTACATATTTGGAAGCCTTGGGAGCGAGTATATATTTGAAACTGTGACAATCGTATAAATGCTAGTGATTGGAAAGAAACATGCATGAATTAATTTGCGAACAGAAATTGAATTTGCTGGTTTATTACTAGTACTCTTATTGCAAACACAACAACAGGGTACAATCCAAAAATGGCACAATAAATAGAAAAGCAATCATACACGAGCATATTAATCTATATGAACAAATAAATTAAAGAGATGACTAGAAGTGGACTGTACTTTGGACTTTTACTTGGCATTTACATTTCAAATCTCTCTTCCCCGTTCTCATTTGTCCCTCACTTGAACACAATAAGATCAGGACGTGCAAGATGCCCATGAAACAAATAGAACCAACCTCGTCTGAATCACGAATATTGTAGCGCAGGCATGACACATTCAGACTTTTATTCAAAGAACTTGTACAGGAAGATAGATGTTTCACTTGGCTCCAAATGGAGCTTGCCTTTATTCCTCGATGAAAACTAGAACCTGAAATCAAAATTAAATAGGAAATTTCATTAATAAAATTCATAATACATGTATGGATAGCTGATTTTCACTTCTGATCGTGAACTTACATGATTTATCATGGCTGGTGCTTCCGCATTCCGAGCTTACTTGTAGATAGGTGGAGGTGGGGAAGCATAGATGTAAACCGGAGGTGGAGGAGGCGATTTGTAAATGTATGTGGGAGCGGGAGCTGGGGAGGGAGGAGGTGGTGATTTGTAATGGTATGGTGGGGGAGGAGATGGGGAAGGTGGTGGAGGACTCACGTAGTGGTAAGGAGGTGACGTTGGTGGTGGAGGGGATTTGTAGTAGTAGGGAGGATGAGGAGTGGGAGATGGAGGAGGAGGACTTTGATAGTGATAAGGAGGTGGTGGAGATGGGGATGGTGGTGGTGGAGAGTGGTAGTAGTAAGGGGGAGGAGGAGAGGGGGATGGTGGTGGAGGTGAGTGGTAGTAGTAGGGAGGGTGTGTGTGTTCTTTAGGTGGTGGGGGCGATTTATAGTAGTATGGAGGAGGAGGGGATGGTGAAGGTGGTGGGGGAGATTTATAATAGTATGGAGGAGGAGGGGATGGAGAAGGTGGGGGTGGTGACTTATAATAGTATGGGGGAGGAGGAGAGGGGGATGGTGGAGGTGGAGAGTGGTAGTAGTAGGGAGGGTGTACATGCTCTTTAGGTGGAGGTGGTGATTGATAATAGTATGGTGGAGGTGGGGATGGTGAAGGCGGTGGTGGAGATTTATAGTAGTATGGAGGAGGAGGGGATGGAGAAGGTGGGGGTGGGGACTTATAATAGTATGGGGGAGGAGGAGAGGGGGATGGTGGGGGTGGAGAGTGGTAGTAGTAGGGAGGGTGTACATGCTCTTTAGGTGGAGGTGGGGATTGATAATAATATGGTGGAGGTGGGGATGGTGAAGGCGGTGGTGGAGATTTATAGTAGTATGGAGGAGGGGGGGAAGGTGAAGGTGGAGGTGGTGATTTATAATAGTATGGGGGAGGAGGAGAGGGTGATGGTGGGGGTGGAGAGTGGTAGTAGTATGGGGACTTTGGAACTGGTGATGGTGGGGGTGGTGACTTATAATAGTATGGGGGAGGAGGAGAGGGTGATGGAGGAGGTGGAGAGTGGTAGTAGTATGGAGGCTTAGGTTTTGGTGATGGTGGGGGTGGGGATTGGTAGTAGTATGGAGGCTTTGGCACTGGTGATGGTGGAGGTGGAGAGTGGTAGTAGTATGGGGGTTTAGGAACTGGTGATGGTGGAGGTGGAGAGTGATAATAGTATGGGGGGTTAGGTTTTGGTGATGGGGGGGGGGGGGGTTGGTAATAATATGGGGGCTTAGGAACTGGTGATGGGGGAGGGGGAGATTGGTAGTAGTATGGCTTTGGTGATGGGGGGGGGGGGGGTTGGTAATAATATGGGGGCTTAGGAACTGGTGATGGGGGAGGGGGAGATTGGTAGTAGTATGGCTTTGGTGATGGGGGGGGGGGGGGTTGGTAATAATATGGGGGCTTAGGAACTGGTGATGGGGGAGGGGGAGATTGATAGTAGTATGGGGGCTTAGGAACTGGTGATGGGGGAGGTGGAGAGTGGTAGTAGTATGGAGGCTTGGGAACTGGTGATGGTGGAGGTGGAGATTGATAGTAGTATGGCTTTGGTGATGGTGGGGGTGGAGATTGGTAATAATATGGAGGCTTAGGTTTTGATGATGGTGGAGGTGGAGATTGGTAGTAGTAAGGAGGCTTAGGTACTGGTGATGGAGGAGGTGGAGAGTGATAGTAGTAAGGAGGCTTGGGCACTGGAGATGGTGGAGGTGGAGATTGATAATAGTAAGGTGGCTTAGGAACGGGTGATGGAGGAGGTGGAGAGTGGTAATAGTATGGAGGCTTAGGTTTTGGTGATGGTGGTGGGGGAGATTGGTAATAGTATGGAGGCTTGGGTTTTGGTGATGGAGGAGGTGGAGATTGGTAATAGTATGGTGGCTTAGGCTTTGGTGATGGTGGAGGTGGAGATTGATAATAATAGGGAGGTGATTTCACAGGTGGAGGTGGTGACTTGTAAACATAAGTAGGTGATGGTGGAGGTGGTGACTTGTATGTGTAAACTGGAGTTGGAGGAGGAGGTGAGTTGTAGTAGTAAGGAGTTGGTGAAGGCTTGGGCTTTTCACATTCTTCAAAATGCTTCTTTGAAGCATAAGCAAATGGTTTAGCCTTGAGCACAACTTCATACTTGTCCTTGGATTTCACCTTCAAGTCAGTTCCCTCATTTAGCTTGGTAGGGATGTTGAAGGGTGAATCCTTAGGTGGAGCGTAAAGCTTGGCCTTGCACACTATGGATCCATATTTTACATAGTTGAAGTCCTTAAGTGTGATACTGTACTTTCCATTGCTCTTAGTTTCACCATAAGCCTTGATGATATTCCTTCCTGCTTTGCATTTAACCTCAACAACGGCACCTGCATGCCCCCAAAATGTTTAATAATTACAATTCATAAATAATACATGTTATTATGACAAAGTTGATTATTAATAAAACGAAAGAAAGATACTACATTATGATGCACTACTAAAAGAATAATAAGTTTAACTATCCATGTCATATAGCATATTATATAAGTCAGCATCATTTCAAGGATAATAACAAGTTAAATTATCTTTGTCACATGAATTATTTCTTTATCTTTTACAGGTTTTAGCCGGTTCTAATCTAGTTATATTATTATTTTCGTTCCTTTTTAGGTATATGATTTTAGGGGTTAACACATAAATTAAGAAATTTAATTAATATCTTTGTTTATATTAATATTTTTATACATAAAGGATAAATTTGGTTTAAGTTGAACCAGTTGAATTGTTTTTTTCTCAAGCCTTAAAAATATTTTTTATCTTTATTAAAACGATAATTAGCATAAAAGGTTAATTTTAAAAACAAGACAACTAAGTCGTAAGAACAGGTGACACTTGTTTAAAAGTGTGACGAAATCTAAAAATCAAAGACATTTATGGAAACCGACGAGCCTTAACCACAAAAAAAGGCTAATGAACATATAAAATGGCAATTCAGGTCTCTGAAGTGAGAAGCACAAAAAATGACAGTTTAATGGTAACTATAGTGAGCATTAATTATGATCGATGCAAGAAATGTGTAGGTACCTTTGAGGTGTTTCTTGTTGTGAGACTTTTCGGGATACTCCCAGTTGTAGCACTTGTAGCTGTAGACTTTACCCACTACCTTGACAATCAAAGGGTGGTGGTGGGGATGTGGGGGATACACAACCGGTGGAGGAGGAGAGTTATAGTAGTAGGGAGGTGGTGGTGGTGAATTGTAGTAGTATGGAGTGGGTGAAGGAGGAGGAGGAGACTTGTAGTAGTAAGGAGTTGGGGATGGTGGTGGTGGAGACTTATAGTAGTAAGGAGCTGGGGATGGAGGAGGAGGTGATTTGTAGTAGTAAGGTGGTGGGGGAGGAGACTTGTAGTAGTAAGGAGTTGGTGATGGTGGTGGGGGGGATTTGTAGTAGTAAGGAGCTGGAGATGGAGGAGGTGGAGACTTGTAGTAGTAAGGAGTTGGGGATGGTGGTGGTGGAGACTTGTAGTAGTAAGGTGGTGGGGGAGGAGACTTATAGTAGTAAGGAGTTGGGGATGGTGGTGGTGGGGACTTGTAGTAGTAAGGAGTTGGTGATGGCGGTGGTGGAGATTTGTAGTAGTAAGGAGTTGGTGATGGAGGAGGAGGAGATTTGTAGTAGTAAGGTGGTGGGGGAGGGGACTTGTAGTAGTAAGGAGTTGGTGATGGTGGTGGTGGAGATTTGTAATAGTAAGGAGTGGGGGATGGAGGAGGAGGAGATTTGTAGTAGTAGGGAGTTGGAGCTGGAGACTTTACAGGTGGAGGAGGAGACTTGTAATAGTAGGGTGGAGGAGGAGATGGTGAAGGTGGTGGTGGGGACTTGTAATAGTAAGGGGGTGGAGGTGAGGGTGAGGGTGGTGGAGGAGACTTGTAATAGTAAGGAGGTGGAGGTGACGGTGAAGGAGGTGGTGGTGACTTGTAGTAGTATGGTGGAGCCTTGTGCTCATATGGGGGTGGAGGTGGTGACTTGTACACGTAAGGAGGAGGAGGAGGTGACTTGTACACATAAGGAGGAGGAGGAGGTGACTTGTAGACATAAGGAGGTGGTGGTGAAGGAGATGGTGGAGGTGGTGACTTGTACACATATGGAGGAGCCTTGTGCTCATATGGTGGAGGTGGTGGAGACTTGTACTCATAAGGTGGAGGAGGTGAGGGTGAGGGTGGAGGTGGTGACTTGTACTCATAAGGTGGAGCCTTGTGCTCATGAGGGGGTGGAGGTGGAGACTTGTACTCATAAGGTGGAGGAGGTGAGGGTGAGGGTGGAGGTGGTGACTTGTACTCATAAGGTGGAGCCTTGTGCTCATAAGGGGGTGGAGGTGGTGACTTGTACTCATAAGGAGGTGGTGGTGAGGGCGAAGGTGGAGGGGGTGATTTGTACTCATAAGGTGGTGGAGGAGAGTAGTAAGGGTAACCATCTGCATTGACAGTGGTGGATATCAAAGCAATGGCCAATGCCATGGCCATTTGTGGCCAAAGACGACCCCTTCTGGGGTCACTGCCCCTTGCAGTCATGCGTACAAGGTAAAAGGTGACCAACTCTGGCCAATGCTTCTTCTCTGATCCTCACTGATTTTGTTGGAAGTGGAGGAATGATGGAGGGAAAGTGTGAGGAAAAGAGAGAGAGGGTTTGGTGTTAGTGGTGACTGACAAAAGCTGCATGAAATACTTAGTACTTATAGTGAAAGTGAGTCGTTAAAGAGGAGCTGTCATGAGGGACCATTTCAAAATTTACAATTCCATTCATCTTCTTTAAATTAAGCTTCACCAGCTGGCCTTATTACTTTAATTTTTTTCTCATTTCTTTTCCTCCAAATGGCCAGAGCAAGGCTCCATTCCAATCTCCAACTACTAAATAAAATATAAAAAAGCATCTTATACGTTCCATAACAGTGTTGAACGCTAGTTACCGTAACGTCCTATTCTTTTATCATTCTCTCCCTGCTCAGTTGCCTATCTTGACGATAAAGTAACTCCAAAATGCTTTATTCATCTTTTTCCTTCTACATTTTGTTTACGAAATAGTGTATTTTGCATCACGGATCCATCAATGGTCATCATTTTTTGTTGGCATTGGCAGCCATTGCAAGCCTTGGATCAAATCCTCTTTTGGTTAAGGTTCAAGATATTTGACTTTACTATTACTTTTTTGAGTACATTTTGAACACAAGCTTTTGGCAGTTTATGATAAAGAATAATCCAAATTTTCCTTATTTTGCTACCCCTCCACGTGTTCGCTGGGGTTAGTATACAAATCAAATTATAAAATTTATTTTATTTTTTATATACCCCAAGAAAATATTATATCCATTAATATTATTCACTTATATACAGATTAATTTGGCTTGATACGTTGATTGGAGTGGGGTGGACAATAAGTGGGGAGAAGGAGACAGAATGAGAAGTTGCTATGAGAAGAGTACAAGTTCATCACCACTTTGGTTCACTTCACCTATTAATGCTTTTACTCTTTTCTCTCTTTCTTTAAGAATTTTCCGAGCCATGTGATTCCTCAATGATGAGATATTTACATGTGATGCTGCACGTTACTGCTTTTTCAGCTAACTCGTGGTACCCAAACTCTTGACGAGAATGAGAAAAAAAATAAATAAACAAAAGGCTAGAAACAGTAACCACTAACCAGGGAAAAATAGTGATTTCCAGATTAATTTCATTTCGTGCAAGAAATAATAATTGATGTTTTCTTCAGCCTTCAAGGTTTGAACTTTATCTGTGTCTTACATCTCTAGAAAACGACACTTTTGAAAAAAAATTAATGCTCTATAATTAAGTCTTTCTAAATGTTTTTGTTTGGGCATTTTGAATATTATTTCTGAACACTTCAGGGAAACAAAAATAGTTTTATTTGGGCAATGCATGCATAGCTCGTAGTGGCACCAGAAGAATATATTCCAGTAACATGACAAGAAAATATTCTAAAAATTGAAACCTCACACACAATTGAAATATTTCAATGCCAAATGACTGAATTATTTGAGTAACAGAATGGAATTGTTCCGAAATTTCAATGTGAACTCAGGGAATTCGTTGGATGTGTCTCTTAATATGTTTCTTTGTAATCAAAGATAGTTTAGTTTATCTTTGCGCGATGCATTGGTTTCAGCAATTGATCAATGTCGGCGTGTAACGTAAATTTATGACATGAAGTAATCAATAATTGTAACACAAATGAATGAAACGTGCACACTATTGTTCCCTTAAAATATAAAATTGTGTTTGGTCCTGTTGGGTAATATAATATATATAATTGAACAACTAAGCATTAGCCAATTAAAAATAGCCCTACAGTCCCAAAAGGAAGAAATCAGCTACATTTCTCTATGATGCTCCGGACACATCTAATTTTATATGGTCTGAAGAGTCAAGATTCCTTGATAATCTCTTTTTCTCTGGAAATGGAAAACTAACAAGTGATTTATACATAAGCATAATGTGTGTACAAATATTATGGTCATGTGAAAAATAGTGATGAAAAGTGGACGCATGGCAGTGAATTCCATTGTATTTAGTCAAGATTACCATATAATGTGTGCATTAACTGTGTCCCCATGTGAACCTACTTAATACTTAAATTTCTAATAGCCACCCACTCATTGTTTATGGTAGTCAATGCCGTGTAGTAGAACGTCTCTGAATTGAGGTGTAAGTAGAACATGAAATTCGTGATGGTTGTTGAATTTAAGGGAAAATAATTCACTTCCATTTGGTTAGTAAATTTGATTTTGGCTGCATGCATAATCATAATGAGATTGAGATGTTGGTAGTGATAGTGGGGTGGAAAAGCTAGAGAGAGAAAAGGATTGGACAGTTTGGAAGGGAATAATAATAAGATAGAGAGGAAACGTGAGTCCCTTTCGATGCTTATAATGTAGGAATGATAGGAGTAAAATCGTTGTGAAAAATCAGAGAATGACTTTTCCTTTAAGAGGTTTGGAGGACCACACCATCAACCACTTTGGTACTAAAATTCTCATGTTTAGGTATGGTGCAGGTTGTTACAATTCTGCAAAATCAAGTTATCTTCATCCAACCACTAATCTCACAACCTCGTCTTCTTGTGATTACAATTCTTTCCCTTTTCCTATATATGTTTGAGATCGCTTATGCTATGCATTCTCTAGTTATACGAAGAGAATAGGACTTTGCTCTATGTTTTTTAATTCTTAGAGAAAAATGGTTTATGCAATAGTACCATAGCACTTCCTCATTTGGTCAATCTTGCACACTAGTCTATTATTGTGAGGTAAAACGGGGAAGGTGAAAAGAAGTCTGTCTCTCTATGCTAAATAACAGCATCGGAATACCGAGACATAATATGTAGAAGACTTTAGAAACATGTAAAACATAATAATTGGATCTGTTTGGTCATTGAATTATTAAGCAGGGAAATATGGGCTAGACGCTAGTATAAGCATGTGCATAGCCAAACACCAAACTTGAAGGGTTGGGTTATTAGCTGTAGCAGAATTCATGAGACTTTCTTTGGTCAAAATATAAAAGATACAGCGGCCTCCAAGCTAGGATGAGAATATACATTATGATTTATGAAGGACGTGGATGTTGACTGTTGACAGGTGCATGTTTATCACTAATACTTGTGCAATGCAATGTGATGAGATCCAATTCTAATACAACAATAACAGTACTCTTATTCAATTATATGTAAGGTTAACTTGTTTCAAAATTTCACTTGTCATAATAAATTTCATGATTTCATGACTTCTATGTCCTCATTCCTCAAACGACAATTTTGTTATTCTTTTTGAAGAAGTGGCAATGCAGTGCTTAATTTGGTTTACATCTTGAAGAAAAAATAATGATTCAAAGTCTGATTCTTATTCTTTTATTATATATTCCTCTTTATTTAAAGTTTCTTGATCTGTACTTTCACATGATCCATAAACCAGGGGACAATTCTTTTTCTTTTCTATGATCATCTTTATATAAATTCACATGAAAAATAACTAAGAAACTCACGAGACTTCACAAGCCCAAATTAATCTTTGATTGTTAGTTTTAAACATTGAGTATATCATTTTTATATTAAAAATTAATTTTAATAAAATAATAATAATAATAATAATTAGAGTAAATTATACTCTCTTCCCTTAGAAATATCAATATTATATTGTCTTCTCCTTTTATATTAAAAATTACAGTTTTTTCTCTCAACCGATTTCAATACATGATATTTTACTTATTTTTTTAAAAAAAAATTGTTAAAGTTTTGTTAACTTTCATTACTAAAATATTTCTTATTAAAATAAACATTTTTCTTTAACAAATATAAATGTTACACTTTAACAATTTATCTATTAATTTCTAGAATGAATTACATATTATCCAAGACTCTACTGACCACAAACCACATTGCAGAAGGTCACTTGAAATGTAGCATCGGCACCACATTCTTTAATTTCCTGAAAACAAAAGCACTGGATTAGGTAGATGCTTGAGAGACAATAGCAGTCACTTTGTAAAAGTAAGCGAAGGGGAAGCCCTTAATCTACTTACTGTTATCAACCAAGTAAAAAGGGAAGGCCACCATCAAGTCTTCATTGAAAGCAATTGTAAACAATTCACAAATGACATCTATAACAAATTAATCTTTTAACAACACTGATTTAGGAACCATCATATATGCCAAACTATCATATTGACTTTGTTAAGAGGCAAACATAGTGACTCATGCTATTGCAAGTGCCTTTAAGTTCAACCCAAATGTAATCATGTCCTGAATTGTAAATACCATCTAATCCAAAATCATATGAGTATGTTTTTACATATATATAAAATATAATTAATTGCATATTTAAAATAAAAATTTTAATTATTAAAATATTTTTAAATTTATCAAAATAAAAATAATATATATAGATATATAAGTATAATAAAATTAAACATACATAGTAGTATTTAATTAATATAGTTAATGTAATATTTTATAATTTTTATGTAGTGAATAAATGATAATGAATTAAAAATATTTTAACATATATTTTAATAAAAAAATGAAATTTAAAATCTTATAATGATTATTTTTTTAGGATGTTAAGTTAAATATTCTAAATTATATATTTTAATATAATAGAAGTGATGATACAATATTCATATCTCTAATAGATAAAAGTGTAATTTATTTTATATTTTAATCCAAGAAAAGAGGATAATGTAATACTTGTATCTCTTAGTAAAGGGAATTGTAATAAACTTTTATATATTAAACACAAATATTTATCTTACGTGAGAATGTTTTTAGGAATTTTTTTCAACAAAAGGATTTTTAGAATTTTTTAACTTCCTATATAACTCAATTTTTATTTACATAATTAATTATTTTAAGACTAAAATACCTTTAATTAATGTGTGCTCTCATAATTTGATAAAAATACATTAATTATAATTTTTTTTAAAGTATGTACTCAATTGATAATGAGAAATATGAGTATTAATTAGAAGAGATAAATAATATACAACAAGCACTCTAATAATTGGATTAGAAAATATATGAGTATTAATTAAAATAATTATATATCATTTTCAAAATAATTATATATCATTTTCAATCTACATAAATAAATAAAAAAAGTATTTCATCCCCTAATTTATTTAATAGCATATCATGAT